CTCTATAGGGAAGCTCTCTTCGTTCGTGCTTTCGTATTGCACATCTGCCGGTAACGTCTCTACAGCTCTACAGTGGAAAGCAAAGTACAAGACTGGATTCACCTCCGGGATCGATCAGTATCCTCACAAATGAAGAGCCACAGAGGTGAATATTACTTCAAGTAGGTGCTACCCATGACAAAACCTATAGCTACGATACTTGAAACACCTTCAATTGGACCTACAATACAGGCCATACAGATGATATGTATCTGATTCTTTGAATAGAAGGAAAAATTGGGATACATATAAGGTACCCGTGAGTGCAGAAACATAAAAAAGGCTAGCGAACGAGGGCACACATCAATAATAAAAAAGGCGAAGGGGGATATAGTGGTAGTAAGAAGGAAAGAGCACTCGAAGTGGATAAAAAGGGGGTCAAACTGTGCACTCAGAAAACAACCACAGAAAAGTTGACTTGCAACTCGACAGAACTGCGTCCTTCGCAGATCCTTCGTACCTAGGACTCGGAAATCACTGGGTCTTCTTATCTTTATCCTCTTTCTTATCTTTATCCTCCTTCTTATCTTTATCCTCCTTCTTATCTTTATCCTCCTTCTGATCTTTATCCTCCTCCTCGTCCTCATAATCCTCCTCACTTTCATAATCCTCCTCATCTCCACCGTCATCTTTGGCTCCGCCATCATCCTTGGCTCCGCCGTCGTCCTTGGCTCCACCATCGTCCTGGGCTCCACCATCGTCCTGGGCTCCACCATCGTCCTGGGCTCCACCATCGTCCTGGGCTCCACCATCGTCCCCGAATCCATCATCGTCTCCGTAATCATCTAAATCCCCGCCGTCGTCTCCATCTTTCAATTTGTGATGTTTGCCGTGGTGTTTGCCTTTGTGACCTTTGCCTTTATGGCCAGCGCCGTGACCTTTGCCCTTGTGACCAGCGCCATGACCTTTATGGCCTCCGTCATGACCTTTGTGGTCAGCGGCATGATGGCCACCTGGGTGAGCTGGATGAGCCGGATGAGCCGGGTGAGCGGGGTGAGCAGGATGAGCTGGGTGAGCAGGATGAGCAGGATGAGCAGGATGAGCAGGATGAGCAGGGTGAGCAGGGTGGGCTGGGTGTGGGTGAGCTTGGTAGCCCCCAGCGTGGTGGTTACCACCGTGGCCAGCGGCGTGATGTTGACCGCCACCCTTCGTCATTCTCGTGGTTAATGCGAGGCTTTACAGAATTCGAAGAAGTTGTGAGAGGCCGATCAAGGACTTGGCAGTTTTTGATGATGGGGGTCTCCGCACGCCCCAGTGAGTCTTTTATACGTTTCTTGAGGTTTCTTCGTTCATGCATCAATCCACTGGAGGCTACACTTTGAGTCTGGAAGACTTTGACATTTTCCAAGATTCTGGTGACTCGGAAGCCCGGTAATCTTGACGACGGTATGGAAGAAGTGGGCAGATGATATGTATGAAGGTAGTGAAAGCAAAGAATGAAAGGAAGGGTTTGAATCGAATGAGAACCGTGAGGGCCCTCGGATTTCGCGCTGTCCTTTGAAGTGGAGTTGCAAGGATCAGATCCGCATTTGTTCGACGATGTACATCGACCGAGAGACGGTTGGTGTACGGTATACCCTAGGTCAGGATAACAGAAATGTACGATCTCCCGGGGTTCCCCGCCTCTGGCGTACTTCTATGCGTGCAGGACTCTTCGAAGGCATGCGTACAGTCCAATTGTCTTCCATACGCATATGCATGAACATGTTATGATTACCGTACGAGTGAACACGGAAAACGTACCGACTCGCATCACATCGCCATGATCACTGTCAAACTTTCAGCACGCTCTTAGGCACGATAGAGTAAAATTGTTGGCCTGTTGAATGAAGAAGCGTGTCAAGAAGTGGTGGACAAGACTCGAAAGGGGAGACGTGCCTTTGACGTGTTAGAATTGTACGCCTCAGGAGTGTCAACCGCACTCTTGGGCCCCTGTCAAAAGGGCGAAAGATCTAGTAACGGTCAGAGTCGGTGTAAACACGGCATATACTTATTGAAATGAAGATGAACAATCTTGAGAATGTTGAATTCGACCTGAAATTGAGGGGATGTGTTTGAATTCTCTGAAACGTTCAAGCGAACAATAGTAAGGGGACGTACCTTCGTACAAATTAATGAAGACAATGACCACACGAGAATGAACCATGACCAGCATCTGAATACAAATGACAGAGAGAGTACTGATTGTCAAGCCATTTTCGATATCGTCAAAGTCAAGTAGGGGGAGTATGGAAAGGGAAGTGAGGAAAGCACAGGCAACTGCGAAAGTTATGGAGTGCCCCGTTTTTCTCTCCAAATTGAATTTCCGTCTATGTTTCTGGGGAAGATCGTCAAGCCCTAAAATTATCGAGTTCTTCCTTTCAGGTTCACGAAATAGTCTTGACTTTCTAAATTGTTGAGAGACACGAAAAGTTGGCGGTCAGCAGGAGAGTCGCGGGCGCCAGCTTCAAGTGAACGTGATCTTCCCACGTTCTTCCCTCTTCGTCGACCCTATGAGCCTTCCTCGATTCAAACGGAGATTCGGAATCTGTGCTAGTCTGGGAGTTCTGGGCGTATGTTGAACTCCAAGTTTATCGTTCGGAATAGGTATAGTACAAAGTCCATTCATAACAGAGGGGTCAACTCAAGGTCACCGAGCAGGGCTCGACTTTGTGTTATGTACTTCTCTCGAGACTTCTCCGAGTCGGACCCGCAAGAAACGTTGAATACGATCTCTTTCAGCTGTAACGAGAACCCATAAATACAAGCGTTGGAAACCTACGCCGCCTAATCCGCAAATGTTCAAGTGCTCCACAGCTTGACAGAACCGTCGAGCGCCATTCTCGGAGGGTGGACCACCGACTTAGTTCTGGGACTAGTACGCACTTTGGGCTAATTACCTCGAAATGGACTCTGGTGGCGCTATGACATGGATCACTGGCACAGCTGATAGAATCTGCTAGAAGGCCCGCAAAGCTACGACCGACTTTTAACCACTAACGTGTACAGATTACGGTTTTTCAACTTAACCTGGAACAGAAAGATTCATTTTACCCTGCTCTCCTACGCTAATAGCAACCCCCTTTAGAAGGAAACGAACGAAATATGGACCACTCTATTTTCCCCGATGTTTTCGTCGTCTCTGGAAAGACAGGTTGCGTCCCTTTCTGTCCGGCTGTCACCGGTCAATTATTGATATTCAAGCCAAAGCAGGATTTCATACAGTCATTGAACGTTGGACGTCACGACTACGCGTAACGAGCTTTCTTCGGTGAAGAGACATTTCAATCGCCGTGCCTCCGGTCTTTTATGGGTAAGTAGAGGTGAGCTATGTGCGGGGACGAGCCGCATGTCAGAGTCTTTCGGTTCAGATAAGAGTCAATGACAGCTGCAAGCCTTTCAGGGATTTTCAATACCCAGAGTACATATAAGTAACAACGTCAACGCCTTCGATCAAACCGGCTTTCTAAACATACGTTTTAACGATCATGCCGGGTTAGTGATATGTTTTCAGTCTTTTGATGATATATTAATGACGAAGGCTTACTCGGAAGTTTTTTTGAGAAGACGCGAATGCCAATCATTCACGTTGTGAAAAATAAGCTGGACGCCGATTTTAACGAAGAACATTGTTATTCAACAATCAGCATCATCCGTGTGGCCCGTAGCTGTACGTTGAGAACATCCGATAGAGTAACAGTTGCGGCTGCAACTACGAGTACCGACTGGTTAGCTGATAAATGGTACAAGCCTCAATACGCCGAGGGGGGGCGCGTAACTTTCGTCAGGTTGTTCTCTACGCAATCTTTGGAACGCAAGGTAATCGTACCCAGATCGAAGCATAGTCTGCAAGGAAGCTCATTTGAGAAGATAACTGTGAAACCTAGACGTGGCATTGTGACCCCAAGCCTCAGAGTTAGCTCAAAAGGTATTCGCCAAGAACAGAGTGGGCAAGGAGACTATGACAGCGCGGAACCGTCAAGATAACGACCAGGATGATTAAACTTGAATGAATGTCCAGTGGTTTTTCTTGCTCTTGGACGTCACGTCAAAGTCGAGGTGTTGACATGGTGGAAAAGTAGCATAAAATGCGGCCCCAACATTCAAGTTCCTGCGTGACGTGTATAGGCGGCATAAGAGGAGCAGATGGTGACAAAGTAAAGCTGGCACTCACAAGGCATTACCAATGGGAAGGTAGGCTTCATAGGTTGCTCTTTGAGCATTGAAGAGGTAAACAGTAAGGTTAACAAAAAGGAAACGACCATTGCCGCGGGTGTGCAGAGCCGTCAAGTGTCGAGGAAGAACTACTAAGCGAAGATAGCCGCGAGATGTGCCCTAAAATTATACGAAAACTATCAGAACATTCAAATGATTCTCTCACAGAACCCTGATTCTGTAAAAGTTTGAAGGACGTTTATTCGGCGTTGCCAACGCACCACTGACCATCGACGCCTTTGTTTAGGCTTTAGGAGATACCGAACGCGTTGAAGTGTCGATTTCTTGCAGAAAACTAGTAGGAGATACTAGGACGATAATGATGAACGTAAAGCTCAGCTTGAGTTGGTGAGAATGGAATTTGAAACGCAAGGTTGTGCCTCATCAAGCGTCTGTCGAGTGGCTTCCGTTTTCGTGATGTCACTTCCATTTCAAACAGACAATCCAAAGGCCTTCTTCGCGTGGTACGACTAAGCCGTTCAAAGTAAAGAATGTAAGCCTATTAGTACGCCCAGCCTGGTTAAAGGATATTGACTCGGGACGTACATTATAGCATGCAAGTCAATTGTCGTGACACCTTGCATCTTTACTGTTCATCTCGCTGGTCGTGATACTTTTGTACGAGACTTGAAATTCGAAGTTTTTTGGTTTGACCTCAATGGTCATGGAAGAAGCAGGGAGATGGTGCTGAAGATTGGTCTAACGTATTTCTAGAAAGAGGGTAACCATTGAGATGGGGAAAGTCAGGGAGGGCACTTTATGATGCTGCCCTCTTAGCTCAGTGGTAGAGCGCATCACTCGTATAGCGGTGGAATATTAAGAAGTTGACATGATGAGGTCGGTTGTTCAATCCAGCCAGGGGGCATTACTTCAGTGGTTCATATATTTTTCTCTGTTGTGTACCTCCAAATGACTGCGAGTTTTTCCCCCCGAAATATCTCTCCTCGTCGACCAGGTGCCTTTCAATTGCAAAGAGGTTCATTACGGTCAGTGGCCTGACTTTGAGTCTCCAACTTTCCGACAATAATGTTCAAGCTGCTCTGCAACGGTCAACTGATGATCACATCGCGATACTAACCAGCTGATACTGGTAATATTTATCTATCATCCTGTCCGGGGGTGGATGGGAACGTGCTTGGATATCTTCACCCCGGATTCCTTACTATATGAAATACGGTAGCCTTTGGTTATTGACCACGGTTCTGTATATACACATAGGCCCGGACACGATGCATGAACGTTGAATCGGGCTTGGACACTGGTACGCCTTTCGATCTCCAAGTATACAAAAATTCCAATTTTTTTTTTTCAAACGTGTTGGCAATTCGGGAACAATACTTACAAAGAAAGAGAGAGCCAACGTTGTGGGCGTGGCCAGATCCATTATACCTGACATTCGACATTTTTGACTTCAGGCTCAAGGTACGAATATCGAAATTTGATCGAGGGCTTGACAGTCGATGAGCAGTGGCGGACGTACCGAGTTGTTGCCTTGGTTTTGATTTTTAGTAAGTTCGAAGCTCTAGGCTGATGGAGGCGTTGAACGGCGTGGAACATGCATGGGTTCTTGAAACTCCAGGGGTTGCAACGTGCTGGACGTTGAACCCGAGTACGGAGAAGCACCAAGGGACGAAATGAGGGTTCACACCAAGTTTTTTGACGGTGGCGCACGGTCCACAATCTTCTATTTTTCTATCGTACTAACGAGGTCTGAGTCTCCACCTTGATCATTGCTTGGTTTGCTTGCTTACCTTGAGAAAACTAGAAGGAAATCAATTATATGGGTACAGGAGTCAGTCACACCCAGGGTTAGTACACGGAAATTGCCGAGCGTCTTACTTGGAAATTCAGCCACAAACGTAAAGCCAGTCACTGGAACCTGCACACTCGTTGTCGCGTTGGCTTCCATTATGATTATCATTCAGAACGAGGGACGACGATCCAGGGTTGAAGATTGGTATCACATCTCAGCATCAAGTCGTCTGAAAGAAGGAAGCTGTGGTCAAGAGCCAATCAGGACGTACAGGATAATACACTGCCCTTCCACCTCCTCCATAGGCGTGTCGCTTCCGATCAGTGACGAGATCATGAGGGCGGCATCGTGAAAGAGGCGAACGTCCCGACACGGGACCTACAAGTCTAATTCCGAGTCGGTGATTATATTATCATACGAAGGGGGCCCTCCAGAGTCCAACATACTGAATGAACTGTACCCCTGGGAACAGCTGTGAATCAGTAAAGGTAAAGCTTGCTTTATTAGCAGTAATTCTCGCAAATACCAAGCACGATCGACGGCCAGATCTATTCTTGTAACTGGGCCCGACTCGGATATCAGCGCCACTCAGGCTCTCGACCATCTCAATTGCGAGAGCTAGAATAGGAATAACAAAGGCAGAAAACTTGGAAAATGTCCCGACTCGGAAATTATCCCAGGATGTCACCCCTCGAGGCGCTGAATGGACGAAATTTGCGGGTGCGGGTGCGGGGGTGGCGTGGTGACTACTCGGATAGAGGGGGTGGCGACTGGACTCTGTGCGGAGGCTGTGTGGAAACGACTCGCCGGGACTCACGGTCCTATTCAACTACGGTGAGTATTCGACTGACCATCATGATGATTCAGATTCTGTCGTAGGTGTTGAAGGGGACAGTGGGAGTGTGTTGGCACGGTCAAAGCAGCCAACCGTTCCGTTAACTGCGGGGGACGGTTAAACTGTGAGTCGTCTTTAGACAGGCTGGACCTGGGCTTCCCGATGGCCTAGTCCTTCGTTCGAAATGGGGAATCCGAGTCAAACGGAACAAGCTTCGAGAACAGACTCCAGCCTGACGCAGCTACCAATGGCCAGTACATCGCTGGTTTGATCAGCGAACGGAGGTTTGCTCTTCTTACATTATGACATAAGTTATATTCAATAATCAATTTCTTCTACCAGTCGCGTTACATCGCTATTCAATGAAGTGTTCGGTTGGGATCTTGTTCACCGTAAATATTCTGAGAGCCCGGCTTCCTCTGTAGTAGCTAGAAGATCCTTATAGTGGACAGCGGTTGGGTAAATTAGACTTGATTTGGAGTTGACATACTTGACATATGTCGGGTGCAATTTAGTCTGTACGTGGCGAAGGGTCTCAGTTACGATGTCCCTCAATGACCCACGCTGGCGTCTCAGTCTGCCAGGTTGACAAGGGTTGCACTTGGATCGATAACTTCCTGAATGAATAATTAGTACCCAATAGAGCACATGCAAGTTATAACGAGAACCCCAAAAGGCGAAACAGTTAGTTCGTGCATTTGAACCCCAATTAAGGACTTGTCCGTCCGCCATGATCCATCGAACGATTCATACGGCATATGCGTCAAATTTATGTCAAGAAATGTAGCGGTCCCGGCTCAGAAGTTCATCGATTGAAGGCCTTCTATCCATATACATCTCTCTTTCCGTGAAGGAGCAAATCCAATAGAATTTCGCCGAAAATCCCGCCCCGCAATAACGGATCCGAAAAGTGTCACAATGTGAAAAAACCCAAACAAGAGAATTAGTTACTTTGAAAGTGTTGGATAACGATACACGTTCGAATTGTGGAATTATGAAGGGCCCGCTATTGATAGTGGTAGAGTATTGACATTATCGGATGGTGCAGTAGAATTCAAAAATCACGGTGAATTTCTTCCCATTAGCGGTCAATTGGAACAGGAAGGGAGGAGCTCGTTAGGCATAAAGTTTGAAAGCCGATTGAGACGTACTCTAACGTTACCGTACGAATTCTCTACGGCCTTTCGACGTATCACGCTGTCAAAGCTTCTTTCACCAAACAAATAAATGAAGGATAATGGCCGAGCATTGACATTGATTTAGAGGCCTTGAAGGCTGTTGAAGTTCGTCGATAGAGGTATTCAGTTTAGTAGTACCAGAGCTTGGTGAGTTGCAGAGCTGGATCCCGACAGAGGCTTGGGCATAGAGACCCTGGTGCCTTCATATGCATACAAGAAGGGTCGAAGAAGTTGGGCATGGTGACACTGACAGTTGCTTCTTCAGTCCGAAAAAGGCGGCTATGCCTATGAGTACTGAGGTCATTGATAATGAATAGTAATAGCCGACGTCGGTATGGAATGTATCGACGTCGCGGATCGTAATTGAGGACTTGAGTACCGGAGAACTTGAAATCTTTTAAAGTTTTGAGGGCTATGTTGGAGTCGTTACCGAGTTTTGAGAGCACTTGAACGTGCCGGAGCGAAGATGAAAATCCCAAGCAGAAGATAGCGAAGAGGAAAAGCCCACCCGTCACGTCACACATGTCAAGTCACCGCGTGGTTCCGTTTCTCGGCGTTTCAACCATATCTTCCTCAATCAGTGTTCGGCGATTGAGCTGCAAGCTGAAAGTCAAATCAGTACGACTATCGAGTCAAAGCAAGTCGAGGATTTTTCCAGAATTTTCTGATTCCATGTTCAGGGTCGTTTCAGGCGGCCGAGTCATAATTTCATTTCATTCATTTTCATCGATAATTTGCAACGCGTGTTTTTTTTTTTTTTGCCAATTCTCGGGACTTCTCCGAATTTGCAACTGTGGACTGGACCGGAGAACCCGAAAATTGGCATTGCAAAAATTGTGTTTACTCATGCAGTGGGTCGGAAAAAGTTAACATGCTCTAGTCAGCACGCTTTCTCCTGTTTCTCCCTTTGCTGCGGGTTTTCGGAGAAAAATGTCATTCTGGTGTTTGCAATTATCCACTCATAACACGTCGGAAATCATACCTCTACGACGCGTGCAATATTGCATGCGACGCGTCGCGTATATCATGCCAATTCTCATCCTATGCCTCAAAGTTCCTCAGGAGAATGCGAGAGTGATCCATTTCACTTCGTATGCGTTACAAAAACTCCTCCATATGAAGACTTCTATCACCTCTGCGGCTGATTCGAGCGACCTATTCTCAGGAGTTGACATGGCTATAGCTATTAATATACAATGATATTGTAACGTTAATTTACGCGACCCACTTCTCTGACTTACGGGATGGTGAAAACGGTGCTTTCCTATCGGCCCCCTCGCTGCACAGCTATCCGGGAAAAACATCTAGGCTCTGGAGCCCACTATGTTCGAACCCACTATACAACTCCGAAAAGCCTGGACCCACTTAAAGGTATCAACCAACCAACATGGACCTATCATTTGACTGAAAAGGTGCTTCTGCGGGCGACAGAAAGGTTTCAACTTTGAGACTCTGTTCGCCGTCTTTGTACCAGTCAGTACATGCTACGCCACCGCAGACAGGGTCTTTTCGCAGTCGAGCCGCTCACTCAGTGGATCCATGATATGTATGATGATCCGGAATTACCAAACTGGTATTGTGAAGAGGTAGGAGGTCCAAGTTCAACCTGTCTTCGCAAAAAACATATAATATACGCCACATCAAATGTTCAGGTGCTGATTAAATGAGTACGCCGGCGATCTAATCCTACCGAGGTTTTTCAACTCGCAGCCAGACGAAGATCTGGCAATGGGCGCTCGTGATTCGGCAAAAAAAAAAGAAACTGAATAGATATCTTGAAGCCGCCCTGGTAACATTCACTTGACATTGATTAAAAACGATGAATTGTGGTCGTGGACAATTCACGGGTTACCGTTACCGTGCAGAGTTTCAGATAAAGGGCTCTTTGTTGTCCAGGGTTACTTTGTGGCTTCTTTGGATCCGGAATGGAAGATGGGGAAAAACAAAGCACCTTTGTTCTCGCGGGTCACACGACGTCAGGTAAACAAAAAGGTAATGGGAACTTGCGCTTCGGGGTTGTATGTCGCGCGTCTTGGTGAACACGTTGAGACGTGCATGTTTCGAAACACGGTGGCTGGATTCGGATATTTGGTTGGTTG